GCTTGTGATGGTGGGAGAGCTGGCAGGGGGATGTGGAGGGTGGGTCAGGCTCCTCACCTGGGTGAGAGGGGATGTTCTGAGCACTCCATAACCCCCAGAAAGGGCAGATTTACAGATAAAGAAGGGAACTAAAAGAAACTGTTCAGTTTGTTTTGTTTTTCCATCTGGAAAGAGAAAGAGCAGGGAACATTCCCATGGACCGAACACGGTATTTAATTATTTTTGTGTTGCTTTTCTCATGTGACTGAGCTGAGCTGTACCAAGTCACTTCAGCCCCCTCAAACACAGGATTTTCTCACTTTTTGGTAAACTGCAGTTACCATGGAGAGGGCTGAGGCAAGCCAAATGCAAAACATTGGAAACTACACCCAAACTCACCGCAGCCATATCAAACAGTTAATTAGAAAGGCCATCCATGTGTTTCCCATTCCCTGGAATGGTTTGAATCAATGGCTCTGTGATTTATCACCTGTTTTCTGTGTGAACGGCTCTGCTCTGCTCTTGTGCATGTGTTGGAAAGGGGATTTGTGCTCTACAGTGAAATAAGGAAGGGAGATATTAAGGACTTTAAAAACAACCCCAACACAATCATCAAATAACCACTTCTGCCCCTTCCCCCCGTCTAAATCTCCCACTGGAATGATATGCTTTGGATCTTGATGGGATTTCTAGCCTTTGGCAAGAGGGAAAAGGAGACAGAGCTTTTGTCTTGCTTTGATTTTGGAGAGTGAGAGATCAGAGGGTGCTGGGCCACTCCCGGGGCTGCCTTATGATGTGCTCAGATGGAAATCAGAGCGTGCTTTCCTTTCCCACTGCACTGGGTGGAGAAGCAGGAAAGGCGTGGCTGGAGGGAGAGGAAGAAGAAATCCAAACTTCCCATGAGTTCTCTCAATGTGTGATGTTGTCTCCCCCACACTAAGGAGAAAGAACTTGATGGTGGCAGAGGTGCTCCAGTGACATGGCTTATGGCTGGAGAGTCAATTGGAGGAGGTCCTGGTAGGA